AATGCCAATGATGGGCTGCTGGATGTCCCCGCTGGAGCTACCCTCACCCTTCTGGGCCTCCAGCCCCACTGCCTTTGGGCCTCCCAGGCCAGCCAAGATTGGTGGCTGCAAGTCATCCAGCAGACCTGGGACAATGAGCAGTGGCTGGAAACCTTCCACATGACCCAGGCCACCTACTAGGACCTCCTGGAGAATCTCTGGCCACACATGGAGGATGAGCTGGACACTGCCATGAGGCCACCCCTCCCCGGGGACACTCACCTGGCCCTTGCCATAATGAAGCTGGTTATGCTCACGAGCCTCTGCTATGTGGGGCATCTCCTTGGGGTGGGCAAGGCCCACTGCCGGGGAGAATGTTCTGGAGGTGTGTGGCACCCTCCAGGATGTGCTGGGGCACATGATGCTCCAGGTGCATGACCCCCTGATGGTGGTGACAGGGTTTTGTGCCCTGGCATTCCCTCAGTGCACTGGGGCCCTGGATGGGACCCACATTCCCATCACTTGCCCGCCCCACGGTGACCACTATAGCCAGAGGGGCTTTCACTCTATTGTGCTCCAAGCCATTGTTGACCACCACAGTGCCTTCACAAATTTGAGTGCCAGCTGGGCGGCCAGTGTCTAGAATGCCCATGTGTTTAGCAACTCTGCTGTGGTGCAAAGCAGCCGCTTTGCACTGGGGGTGCCAGACCTGCAGCTGGGTGCCATGGTGGTCCTGTCCCTCCTCATCAGGGACCCCAACTACACAATCCTGCCCTGGCTCACATGGCCCTACACTGGCCAGCTGGCCCCCCACCAGGCCTGGGCTGGGCCTGGGCCTTGGTGGAATGCATCTTCAGCCACCTAAAAGGACACTGGCACACCCTCACTGCCCACCTGGAGTTTGCTGAAGACAACCTCCCCCGGGTCATCATCACAGCCTGCATGCTGCATAATATCTGTGAAGCCTGGGAAGAGCTCTTCTATGAGGCCTGGGTGGAGGAGGCGCGGTGGGTGAAGGACACTTGACAGTGGGAACAGTAGCTGAGGCAGCAGCAACAGTAGTGGGTCCCCCCGCAACCAAGGCCTCAAGTAAGCCACACACCAGGCCCCAGGGGCCAAGCCACCAGGTGTGGGAGGGACTGGCTCACCACCTCCTCCTGCACTCCCTGCTGTAGCCTACCTGGACAGCCTCCCATGGATGTCCCCACCACCCTTGCCTACCCCCAGCACCATGCTAACTGCAGACACATCTTAGAAGAACAACAGTTTTTATTCCCCTTGCATCAAACAGATTCCCCTCTCAATAAACAGAGTCCCCCCACAACAGAGCCCCTTCAACACCCACCCCACCCACCAACAATAAAGCACCCTCTTCCCCATGCAAACTATTTACAATGTGTTGTGTGTGCCATCCCAGGGTAGGAAGCTGTGGGGTGGGGGCACCTAAAGGGCAGAGCCCAGAGACAGGCAGCCAGCACCACAGCTTCTGGCCATTCCCCTGTGGGTGCGCATGCCACAGCAGGCCTGGTGGTTTGGGGGCTCCTCCTTGGGCAACAGCGGGCAGTTACCCTCACCATGGGCAGCTCCCGCTCCAGCAGCTGGTTTTCAGAGCCAGCATGCAGTCCTGGCCCTGCTGCACGCAATTCTGGCTCCACACCGATGCGGAGCTGGGGTGAGCAGTGGGCCTGGGCCCAGGAAGTGGGGCTGGGTGGTGGGGGACCTGGGACAGGGTCCAAGACAGGGGTTCTTGGCTGGTGGAGGTGCCTCAGGACCTCTGCCCAGGTCCATGGAGGGGCCTGCTGCTGGGTGGCAAGCAACTACCAGAGGGTAGGCAGGGCTAAGGTTGGGGACAGGGCAGCAGGTGGCACAAAGCCAACTGCCTGGGCCAGGACTGTGTCTAGCACCTGGCAGTCATCATCCATGGCCTGCACTGCCCTACCCAGAACTGTGGTCTGCTCCTACAGGGCCTCCACCTGCTCACACTCCAGGGCTAGGAGCTACACCTGGAACTCCCAGTCCACTCAGTCCCATGCTTCCTCACACTGGTCCCATGCATTCTCATGGGCCACGTCCTCCACCTGCCACCTGTCCTGGTAGGCCATGTCTTCTACCCGCTGAGCCCTTACATCCACCAGCTGGCCCAGGAGGACAGTGCAGTCCTGGGTCCACCTCCTGCAGAGCTGGTGTATTCACAGGGCCCCATCTGTGGGTGATGATGACCCTGAACCCGCATCCCAGCTGCCAACTGCAATCTCTCCCCTGTGTGCAGCTGCAGGGCCTGCAGAGTCATAAAAGAGAAGCTGTTTGTGAGAGTTTGCAGTATTTCTGAGATAAGATCCTCTGTACCAGGGGCCATGTGCTGCCCAGCCTCAGATTGGGGGTCAGGCATTCACGGGTACCCAGGGACCATGGTAATTCAGCCAGACAGGCCTGGGCCAAAGCAGCCACTGGCCGAGCTCCC